AAACAGTAGATGCAATGGATTCGCGTGCTTTGAAAAGCTCTTCAACACATAGATAAACAAAGGCAGACCCATGAAGTGTACTTCACAGGCCAAATGGAAGAGAATTGGAAAGCAGTAAAACCCGACACTGGCAATGAGTTGAGGGAAGGGCTCTCTGTGCTCTGCTGCCGAGGAAGGATGATAGAGCAATCCAAGGGTTAATTTAGCAGCATGGACAGGAAGGACTCTTACAATATGCACGCATTTTGACCTAGTAATTCCAACTCTAATATGAATCCCAAGGAGAATCATGGAGACAGTGAGCAGTTAAGCCTCTTGATGGGCCTTTAAACATTGGTTATAAGAACAAAAAGTTAGAAAGACCACTCCATGCTTTCAATATTCGTTTTCAACCATAGAAAGTGTTATGAAGGAGTTACTAAACAGACACCATTCAAGATGATGATAAATGGTGGGAAAGCAAGCTTTGCTCCGTAGGTGGGATGCTACTTGATATCTATTCTGAATCTACATTATGACTCTTGGGTGGTTCAGATACCAAGCATCTATAAATTTGGAGCTAGGAAAATGTGGGGCACTAAGGTGGTTAAATTAAATGAGGGTAAAATAAGGGCAAATGGAATTTATTTTCTCCCACATTCATTTTTTTAAAAAAATATAATATTTATTTTATTTCTAGTCATGAATGTGGTGGTGGGGGGTAAATGTAATATGAGTGCAGGGGCTAAGATAGGCTAGAAGATGGCCCGAGTTCGACCACCACAGCTGGAACAGAGGTGGTTGTAGTCTGCCCAGTGTGTGTACTGGAACCAGACTCAGATCTATGAGAACAGTCACACTCTTAACCACTAAGCCATCTCTCCGGCCCCTTCACTCACGATCTTTATCTTCAAAGTTTTTTGAGTCTTCCCTACTTTCTGTCTTAAGCAATTGCAGCCCGGTGAGCTTCATGGCAGAACCGTGGGAACATATTCATTGTAAGAGGAAGCAGATTTCATTGCATGTAGGTGGAGAATAGGAGAACAAGTGTTATGTGAACCAACTCCAAGATAGACACTTGACACTTACATCAAAAACCCACTTAGATAACTGCCAGTTCTTTATTTATTATCTGACCATTGATGAAGTTCACAGAGAAAGCTTTCTATAGACTGGACATTTCAATTTGTTGGAATGTCATTCCATTTGAAATAAGTCATGGTGGCCACTAAGTGTTCTTCATCAGAGACCCCAAAATCTCCAGACATGGGAGTTCGTACTTCCTTCAGAAAGCTGAAGGCATGAAACAGTCCCTGCCCAAGGTCACAGGACAATTCAATGACTGTCCCACAAGTAGAATTATGTTCTTGTCTTCAGCCTGAGCTGCCTCCCTTCTTGGTATGAAGCCCTGCACTTCTATTTGATAAAAAAAAAATGTCTCTGTTTTGTATGTAGGAAGCCTAGGTGATAGACCTAAAAGAGTCAGGCTGGAGGGATGGCTCAGTGGATAAAAGCACTTTGCCACATAAGCATGCTGAGACATGAGTTCAGATCCCAGCATCCACATAAAAAGAAGGGTGGATACACACACATTGCGTAGGGAGGAGATAGGAGGATCTCTTGTAATTTCTGACCTTTAGCCTAACTTCAGGTTCAATCAGAGATCTTATCTTTAAAACAGGGAGATAGTGATGGAGCAAGCTACCTAATAGCCTCTTCTACACACACATGAGCATAGATCATATTCAAACACACTAATACAAAATAATAATAAAAGAAACACAAAACTGAGTGATTTTTGGAGACTACTCCACAAGGGGACTTCACCCTCTTCAATACTATGCACATCCATTGCACACAGTGTTTGTTACAAAACTTACTGCTGGTACCAAATACCTGACAAGCAGCAAATTAGGAGAGAAGGGGTTTATTTTGGCTTACAATTTGGGAAGGGATTCAGTCCTTCGTTGTGGGGAAAGCATGGCAGCTCTGAGCATAAGGGACTGGACACAGTATCTGCCTTCAGGAAAACAGAGAGGTCTATAAGCCTCAATGCCTGACCACAGTGACCTACTTCTCCTAGTAGGTTCTACAACCTTCCAGCAGTTCCAGCAGCTGGTGTGGTGGAATAATCTTTTTGAACACTGTGAATATGTACCACTCTGATTGGTTCAATAAAAAGGTAAACAGCCAATACCTAGGCAAGATTTTCAGGGCAGAGAGGATGCTGGGAAGAAGAAGGATGTCATCAGCCAGACAGGAAATCAGCATGGGCATTACAGAGTAAAGGTAATAAAGCCAAGAGGCAGAAAATAATGTAATAGAAATGGGTAAATTCAATTTATAAGAGCTAGTTAGAAATAAGCCTAAGCTATTGGACAAGCTTTCATAATTACTAAGAAGTCTCCCCGTGGTTATTTGAGAGCTGACAAACAGGACAGAGAAATCTGCCTACAAGCTATACAAGCTCAAGCACATAAACCAATGGCTGACATTTCAAATTCAGGCCATGACATACTCCTACACTGCCTGGTTTCTTCATGATAAAGCTAAGGAGAGATGAAGTCTCCCTTGATCGAGCATGAGCTCTGCAGTTCACAGCAGTTCTGCATTCAAACAATGAAACATGGAAAGCCACTTGCCTACTAACAATGGACTTGGCCACTATAGGATGTCTTTGGTGATAGGGGGTAGGAAAAAACAAACACACTCTCAGGAATAATATGGGATAAGTTACAGCATAGGGAGAACAGAGCTAGGACTGGGTTCAGAGTTTTTTTGTTTCCTACAATATGTTTTACACTGCATAGAAATGGGAGGGAGCACAGTGAGGAAATACTGGGCCAAAGCAAGATGGAAAACCAGCTGGGAAAACTCTAAACTCTCAATGTCTGATGCCAAAACACTCTTCAGATCTCCAACTCTGTTCAGCTTTATTGTCTGCAATACACTTGTTTCTCTTGGGCTGGTTTCCTTCCCAGTTACCAGCTCTCTTTGACAGGTAATTGCATGGCTCTATCACTGCCAACATCTTAGGGTCTCCAAGGCAATCCAGACTTCAGCTTCACAGTTTTAAGCATTGGCTTCTCTGGGCCTCCACACAGGGACACACCTGGCCTCAGCAGCTTTCCATAGTCATGGAGGGAGGTTCCATAATCACTTTCTTCTACCCTTGACTCTAAAACCATAGCCATGTGGCCAAAGCTGCCAAGTTCTGCTCTTTGCTAGGGTTAGAACATGACCTTTCCCTCATTCAGTCACATCTTCATTAGCTCTCTGTTTTCCATGGTTTCTTTCACTGCTTAAACCTGGCTGTCCTGGAACTCATTCCATAGACCAGGCTGGCCTTGAATTTAGAGAACCAGCAGCCTCTGCCTCCTGAGAGTTGGGATTCTAGGTGTGCACCACCACACCTGGTACTAGGCTTTTCTTTAGTTCCTTTTCACAATTTGGAAGCTTAGCTGGGTGGGGTCTTACCCTGAGGTCACCACTCCCTATATTCCACTTAATATCTGATTCTTCTTTGATTTGTTATTTCCTTGAACACAGGACTTAGCTCCATTCCACTTTCTGGTGCCTCTTTTCTCCTCAATCTGTACATTTTGTGTTTTTAAACTTACTCAACTCACTCGCTTTCATGATAAATCTTCATAAGAGTGAACATTAGTAACCACACGATTGAGTTTATACTAGGCTGCTTTGAGATTTATTCTGCCCATGGAATTAATCCAAAACTCTTCACTTTAGTCTCAGGCAGACTTTGGGGCAAGGGCAAAAAGTACCTACATTCTTCATCAAGATATCACAAGAACAATTTCTAGGTCACTTAATAAACCACCCACAGTTTAAACCACCCTCAGCACCACTGTCTTCCATGCTCCCACTAGAGACAGCATGACCACAGTAAGTTGTATAAAGGAATACATTTCATTGGGGCCCGCTTACAGGTTCAGAGATTTAGTCCATTATCTTCATGGTGGGACATGGAAGCATGTGGGTAGGCATAGTGCTGGAGAAGGAGCCGAGAGTCCTACATCTTGATCTGCAGGCAGCAGAAGGAGACTGTGTACCACACTAGGTGTAGCTGGAGCTTATGAGACCTCTAAGCCTGCCCCACAGTGACACTCTTCCTCCAACAAGGTCACAGTTACTCTAAGAAGGCCACACCTCTTAATAGTGCCATTCCCTATGACCAAGCATTCAAGCACATGAGTCTATGGGGCCATAGTTTACTGGTCAAATCAGCACACATATCCAAGGTGGTGCCTGATGCAGCTGTTTAGTAACTTCTAAGATTCTCAAAGGCTAGTCTCACTCTACAGAGACCCTACAAGGTGGCCTAGACCTTAGCTCATAGGTGACCTCATCTGAGATCACATTGACTTCAGAGACCCTGGGTACCTCAGCTCTGAGTCAGTGATATGATGCTAAGACCGGAAGTTTAGAGCTGGGCATGTGATGGGAGTTGGGCCACAGATTGATGGCTAGTTTAACTCACACTAGACTGCAACTCGCTGGTCTCCCTCTGGGTCTCCCTCTGGGTAGACATTGCAGAAAGGACCATGGGAAGCATGGCTGGTAAGGGTATAATGTTCCACCTTACCCCTGCGCTATCAAAGAGGTTATAGCCTGCCTACTCTTTAAAAAAAATGGAACTGGGACAGCTACAGCACAAGCCTTTTGATTTCGTGCTTTTCACTTCCCATTCCTTTCCCCTTCCTTCATTTCTATCTTCCTTTCTTTTTCCATCCTTCCTTCTTCCTCCCTATTTTCCTCCCCCCTCCCTCCCCCCTTTTCTTTCTGTCTATCTTGGGGATCAAACCTAAGGCATCTTGCCCTCTAGGGCTCTACCACAGAGCCACATCCAATTCTACCTGTGTGTCTTTTTAGTTTTGATTTTAAAAAAATGAACACGTTTTATGTGAAATTAAATAACCTTTATTTGGAAAAGAGAGAATTCTATGCTGTCATTTAAAGCAGCCTAACCCTTCCCCAAAGAAGTCCAGTGATCTCTTCTGTAATATTTGAAAATAAACAAACTTTATTTGAATCAGTAAATACCAATCAAAACTGGGAAATGCATTTACAGCTGGCTCAAGATATAAAGCAAGCGTTGGACTGTGTGTATTCAAAGGCATGTCGCATTTAGTAAGGCTTTCAAGCAAGGCCTGGTCTCACTACAGTTAAGGGTCTCAAGAAAAGTGAGTTACCATTATTTGGAGCATTTACAAATTATTAATTAGAATTGCTAAATTAGTTAATTACTTATCTTACAAAAATGAAAAGGCTAGGTGACTGGGAGGGTAGGGAGGACAAATTTAAACATCAGCTGGGTATTTTGCTTCTTTTGATTTTGTCCTTTTGTTTTGAGATGGTCTCATATAGCAGGCTGGCCTGCAACTTGCTATGTAGCTGACCTTAAACTTCTGATCCTCCTGCCTCCACCTCCCTAGAGCTGGGATTACAAGTGTTCACACCAAGCCTGGTTTATGTAGTGCTGGAGATCTAGCCCAGGGCTTCATGCATGCTAATAAGCAAACACTCTATCAACCAAGCTAGATCCTAGTCTGATATCTTCTATAAATACATTCATGGTCAAAGTCTCAACATCTTTAGCTATATACAAAAATATCATGGCTTCAAACTTTTTTTTTTTTTTTGCCAAACATCAGGTTGATTTAATAGAAAATACGATTTAACTCAAACCTCATACGGGGACAATGCTTTGCTTATTTTTGGTAGTATACTGGTAGTAGTACAGATCTATTTCCTTCAACAACGTTAAATAGGATTGTGCTGTTTGATTCATACTTACAAGATGCAAGTGTCTTGAAACGAGGCTGAGAACAGAATATTGTAAGGGGAAGAGAATGGACTTAGAGCTCAGCTCAGGCTGTTAGTTTGAGTGGTAGAAAGCAGAGGATGCAAGGTCACTGGCCTGTCTGTAGAAGGGCCCCATGGCCAATGACAAGATTCCGAACATTCTCCCAACAGAAGAATCTGGTGCTTCATAGGCACGCTTCTCTCCTCCATGTTTTCTAGTGATCTTTCTTTCTTTCTTTCTTTCTTTCTTTCTTTCTTTCCTTCCTTCCTTCCTTCCTTCCTTCCTTCCTTTCTTTCTTTCTTTCTTTCTTTCTTTCTTTCTTTCCTTTTGAGAAAGACAGGGTTTCTCTGTGTAGCCTTGGCTGTCCTGGAACTCATCTTGTAGACCAGGCTGGCCTCAAACTCACAGAGATTTGCCTGCTTCTGCCTCCTGAGTGCTGGAATTAAAGGTATATGCCAGTATCACTTAGCTTAAAGATCTTTCTTAATGTCATATATAGGTATAATATATATGATACACATACTTAGATCTTAAAATATAAGCCTTGAGAATCACTGAACTTAGTTTCAAGCACAAGTTAATGTTCCATGTTTCCAGGCAAGGCTACATCCGTTTCCTGACTCGTCTTGTAGTTGAGCTCACCTCTGACCATGGGAAAATGGAGAATCCCAGAAGCACCTATCAGACACCTGTTGCTTCTAGAAAGATCTGATTGTTGTTGCAAATCCTTCCAGTGATGGCGGCAAACTCTTACTAGATGGACACCCAGCTTCTGCCTCTGCTTCCCTCAAAACACAATTTGCCTGGGCCTTGCAGGTTCCTGGGACTTTTAGACAGTTAACGTCTGTCTATGCTAAGCATGCTCCATTCCCAAGATGGTCCTAAAATGCTTGGGACTGTCTTTTTGTAGAATATGGCCACTTTGAAGCACAGGTGCTGTCTTCTCAACTGCTGCCTCATCTCACAACCAGAAGGTACCACAAACATCCCCCAAACAAACCTCACTCTTGGAGTGGCTTCTTGTGAATGAAGAAAAATCAAGATCCTGTCTGGTCCCACCAGCGCCGGAAGGGAACACCAGGGGCAGGCACCAGGAAGCTGGCACCTATTTAGGGTTGCCTGACCAAATAAACCGACTGTTTCCAACTTCGTAACTGAGTTGTTTGCTGCCAGGAGCCTAATCTAGACCCCTTGTTTAAGGCGGGGAATATGCACATACCTAAGACCCTGAATTTAGCAGGAAAATATGAAATGTTCTGGAACAACCAAAAATTCACTTTCTATCTTATTGTGTATAGTTCCTAATATCTTAATAAAGGCCTTTTTTCTGGGTCAACCCAAGACATAGGAAGTTTTAAATAGGTAGATAAATGCAACTCAGTCATTCTGAGTCTCACTCCAGCTGTCTGTCTTGCCTTCCACTTCACACACACACACACACACACACACACACACACACAAAATTGTCATGTGTCAATCCAAGGTGAGAAATGAACACAAAAGAAATGGTTCCATCAAAATAGCTTGTCTTTCTCTGTCACCCAAATGCTTCCTGAGGGACTGGCATTTGCCAGAACAGCTCCTATCCAGTCTCTGCAGGCAGTGCCTGCACGGTCTGAGTTAAGACTTGGAACCTACGAGAGGGTGGCTGCAGATGGTGAATCATATACATGACAAGGTTAAGGCCAAGGTCCAAAGAAGCTGGAGCCTCAGAAGAAAACTCTGCTCTGAGGGTGGGGGGTAGGGGTGAGGGATGGGGGGATAATCATCATTTACTTAATTGCTATTTTTATATACCAAGACAATTCTGTCCTAAGACACTGGTCAGTCTAATTATGATTCTCTGATAACATAAAAATAACTTCTGAACTCAAGTACTCAGAAGAGCCTCCATTCTATAATCTCACCACTTTTTAAAGGGGTTATGATAGATCCAACATGGGCTAAATTTTGTTATGTATGTAAAACTAACTCAATCACAGGAGGACCTTCTAGAAATAGTATTGACTCAGCTTGGGTGGTTTATTTTTAAAGACTTGCCCATTTCCGGGCTCAGAATATCACATGAGGGTCCTGAGTATTCTCCTTTCCCTTGGGGACCCCTCTATATGCATCCTGGTCTTCACCATAGGTCCACCTGCAGGACACAGGGCTGTGAACTGCCTGGGTCACCCTGCTTGTGAGTTCTGGGAAGGATTCCTGAGAACAGCATGGTTTCCTATTAATTAAACAGCCTTCCTATGGTTCTGGAAGCCTCTTCCTGCCCCCTCCCTGCTCAGCAGGCCCACTAGGGGCTCTTCCCTGCAGAAAAAGGGCTGGTCCCTCAGCAGAGCTGCCCTTTAAACACCCCAGGGGCAGTTTGCAGAGAGCCTGTGGAAAGGTTCCTGTAGGGTGGAAATGAATCGACTCATTTTGCACCTTCAAAGCTCTTTCAGGCTTATAAAACACAGGCAGAGTCCTCTTCCCCAATGGGCTAGGGAGACCTCCCGCTTCCTCCCTTCTTGGATCAATGGTCGAGCTTTGCTTTGGCGATCCCTAGAGGCAGGTGAGTCCAGTGACTGTTAGCACGTGTTGACGTTTCTGTGGAAAGGACCCGTGCTGCCCCACCCTCCGGAGTAATGAGCCAAGTCCAGGGGCTTTCTGGTCCTCAGGAGCCTCGCCCTGCACTGGCAGCGACACAGAAGGCAGGATTGTTAGAGTGAGGCCCAGTGGATGGATTTCTCCCATGTGCGCCCTAGCTCATTGGGAGAGGAAGAGTGAATGGTTAACTCATTTGTCATAATGGTTGGTCAGTCCAGGTTCCCATGCTCAGGCCCCATGAGCTTTGTAGGTAAAACACAAGGCAGACAACTAAGGAGAGAAATATTAGGCTTTAAAAAAGCTTTTTCTTAAAAATCTGATAGATGAGTCTGACGGCAGGAAAATGAACGCAGGACAGTATATTTTCCAAATTCAAGCTGTGGCTTCCCAGTCAGAAAGACCCATGGACTTTCTTCCTAAGGCAGCCCTTGATCACACTATTCCCTGTTAGAATTTCTCTCCCATCAGACGCTGGGGCTGAAGAAGTCGGGAGCCTGAGCACACCCAGGTGGCAACCCATGTCCAGAAGTGACTAGGAAGGGCCCGGAAGACAATTTTGGCCAATGTTGGAGTCTGCTTGATGGTTGGTAGGTGTGCCCTAAGAGCAGTCCATGATTTAGATGGTGAGGGAGAAGACCGGTCTAAAGGTTTACTAGGCTACTTTTCAAACTCCTCGCTTTATCTGCTACCATCCCTCTCCCCCCACAACTCCACCCAAAGTCACTCATTGAAGAACAGTCCCACCCACTCATGTAATCTCCAGTGGCTGAGTGCTCTTCAGTCAGTGACCCCTGTGGCTGTAGACCCTGTGGGGTCTTTTGGCATCAACATTGCTTCCCAGAAGTCCCTCTCCATTTGGATCGCCTCAGTTTACAGTCCTAGGTCAACGGCCTTTGTGGAGACAGGTGGAAAGCCGGGCTCAGTGCTGGCCAGGACATAATCGGATTGCACCTGGTCCCAGCACTGCGACAAATTGGGGTGTATCCAAGGGAACATTATAATATGGCCCTCTGTCAGAAATAGTGAGCAACTGGAACTGCTCTGCAAGATTCCCAAAGCCACACCCAGCTGGGTCCCTCCCCCAGCACTGTCTTCCAATCAAAGCATGGTTCTCTCTCTAAGGATCATGGGATGATTTTTGTTCCTCATAGTTACTGAGGAAGAGGTGGGGTGGAGGAGAAGCTGGGATTGGAGTTGCTAAAGCATCAGGGAAAGTATTATGACATTGGCAGAAGGGACCAGTGACAATCCCACGGGAGCTCTTCAAACTGACCCCAGTCACACTGAACCTGATGGGGTCAGCAGGTGGGAAGGTCTGCTGATGCGTTCTCTCCTCTTGTCTGGCTCCTGGGATAGGGCAGAAAGATGGCACTGATCTTAGAAGGTAGCAGTCTGGAGCTGAGTTCAGGGGTGCCGGCAGGATGTGGCTTCGTTCTTTGCTTTTAAGTGTTTCCTCAAGGAAAGGAGGGAAATGAGTCTGTAGAAGGCCTATTGGGAAAAATAGAATTCCTTTGTAGCAGAATCGGGCCAAATGGCTAAGCTCAGGATCGGCTGAGGCGCCTGGCAACATCTGCATAGGCCAGCTCGATCTCGCTGTCAGCTGCACAGGTGTTGGTGAACTCGTCCCGCGCATAGGCGTTCTTGAGGTACCGCCACAAGCCTGTCATCTCAGCCGGGAAGTCGTAGTTCCGGTACTTCTTAGCCACAATCTAAACAAAGAGGACAAACAGAGGTAGTGTGAAGACAGGACACAAATCAGTAGGAGGTATTAGGGCCACGATTTCACGGGTGGCTGTGCATATCAGATACATCTGCATGCACCAAGGCTGAGCAAAGTTGCCCAGAAAGACTAGCCATATCAGCAAGCTCTGAGTTTGATTGAGAAAGACTGCCTTAATGAGTCAATGGAAGAGAAATTGAGGATGACTCTTGACATCAACCTCAGGCCTCCACGTGTATGCACATACATGTTTATATGCACCAATGCACATACATGCCTACAGGCATGCACACATGCATATGCATACACATATATAAAAACAAAAAAAAGTGTGCTGTGAAGGAAACCTGAAGCGATATGAATTTTTTTGAGGTAGACATAGTTTCCATACTATATAACACATTTGGGGAAATATGTGTGACAACCACAAGCATATTACCAATAGAGTATCCATATTCACATAGCCCAAGCTAACCTCAAACTTCCTATGAGACTTTGAATTTTCAGTCCTCCTGCCTCCACTCCCGGGTACAAGGATTATAGATACATGCTTCCTGTTATAGTTCAAATTCTCTTTATTTTTGGTCCTTCTTCTGCTTTGCTCTAAATAAGCATCCTTGTTTTTATGTGATGGCGGTGGTGGTGGGACCCAGAAAAGTGAGTCAGGTATTAGCATATATATGAAGGTTCTAGATCTGGTGTGGGCGTGGGCCACTAGTAATCTCCAGTCTTTTCTGAGTCACCACACCCGGGATGTGGCCCGGGACTTGTAGAGAAGAGGGGCTTGTGTTTATAGGAACAGTAGCATCAGTGGCTAGGGGCCAGCTCTGGGATTCAGCTGGCCACTTTGTAATCCCTATTCCATCTGACAGCTGTGACCAAGGACAAATCCCTGACACCTCTCTGAGCCCCAATTTGCTTTTCTCTGACATGGAGGTAATAGCAGGACTTTACCTTGCAGAAATGGGTAAATGGGTTCTGACAGAGTGCTCAGACATTCCGTAGCCATTGTCTAACACAATTCACTGAGGCCCGGCTGGTGCCCATTTCATGCATTTGCTTCTTCACTACATGGAGGCTGGCAGGGTGGCTTTTTGAATAAGGTCTGTATAGTCCAGACAACTTTCTGGACACATGACCTGTGAGCTCTCCCAGGGCCTTGCACACAGAAGGCCCTTGCTCTTGCTTTAATGCTGTGTTAATATCAGCAGAGTCTTCATATATATTTTTTAACAAGGGCTCCTGTGTTCAATGTTCATTGGGACCTACCTATAGGTCCCAATGTTCATCCTGCCTATAGCTCTCAGGGTCCGGCAGGGGCAGCAGAGAGTAGTATCTCTCCAAGGGTTCTGCTCCCAACTTCCTTCATTTTCTCATGTGGGTGGAGAGACATCAAACCACAGGATCTGATACTCTGCTCAGAACCCCTTCAGCTCAGCTATGTGAGGATTTCTCCTTCCTTCCCATCTGGATGATGTAAAGTCCCCAGAAAATTATGCCACGACAAGGACAAAGATGACCTACTGCATGAGAAACTCATTCTGGGGATCCTCCTATACCAGGGAGAGCACACGTTCCTTCCAGGCGCTCATTCCAGTTTTCAGGTTCCAGGACAATATTTACATTCTGTCCTGAGTCGTAAGGATGACAGCATCCTTTTCTCCTCCCCAGCTTGTAAGCAACAGCATGACAGGGTGGGACCACAGTCTTCTCGCTTCTATACCCTTCCATAACCCTAATGACTGGCTCATAAGCCCGTTCTCATCTGGGTGCTGTGTTATGCTACTCAGATCTCTGAAGCATTCTACAAGGACCGTATACCTACTGTCCAGATGAGAAAGGAGAGGCACAGTCATTTTAATAAGTAAAGTTTCAGTGCACAGCTGAATTTAATCATTGGTATCTTCTGTTATCCCAACATCAGACAAGGTACATTGAGTTATATGTGATGAAACCATTCTGTGGTGTGTGTGTGTGTGTGTGTGTGTGTGTGTGTGTTGCAGAGGATAGACGCCAAGACATAATGTATGCTAGGCAAAACACCCCCATTAAATCACATCCCTGGTGTTCCAAAGCCTTTCATTTTAAACGTGAAAACATTCTTTAGCCATGAGCAAACTAGACCCAGAAGAGACTGAAAGGTTCATGACATATTGCGGAGATTCTCAACCAGTGGATAGCGACCCTTTTGTGGGTCAAAGTATCCTTTCACAGGGGTTACCTAAGACCATCTGAAACGCTGATATTTATGTTACAATTCATGACAGTTGCAGTTATGAAGTAGCAATGAAAATAATTTCATGGTTGGGGCTTGCCACAACATGAGGAACTGTAGGAAAGGGCCACGGCATGAGGAAGGGTGAGCATCACTGTGGGTTGCAGGGACTGCCAGTACGGTGCCTGTCCACTGAGAACTAGGAAGGGTGAGCATCACTGCGGGCTCACCCCATAACTCTCCTCTCCGCTCAGCCCTATGCAACTAATGAGGAAACAGGACAACTCAGATCCTAGGCCCAGAGTGCCAGTTAATCTGTGACCTCTTACTAGTGACATTCAGACAATGATACCCTGGTTCTCTGGCATCCTGGGAGGCCCAAGAAACTGCCTCAGGTTCAAAGTCCCTCTGCTTTTGTCCTGCTTCTCTGTGCAGAAGAGAATTGCCTGTCATAGCACCTTAGCATTTCACTGTCTGTGTTGGAATGGGAAAATGGTCCCTATGCACACCTGCCCGGTAGCTTCTCAGTCTCATTTACAGGAGTTCCTTGTCTTTATGTCCATCCTCCCCCAGTAGTCATCAAGGTACCTTCAAACTGATTGCATCCCCCATCTGCCTCATCCGCTTGAGAAAGGGCTGATGAACCTCAGCTACTCTAGTCTCAGGTCTTAGGCTTTGTAGATAGCCCCATGTGGCCCCATGCTCCTGTGTAGAAAGTCATTTGTGACCTCCTCTCTTTCTCCATAGAATCTATCCATTCCTCAAAACCTATGCTTACTTCCAAATTTGCCCCCCCCCCAATTTGCTGTGTTGTTGTTATTATTGTTGTGGTAATATTGGGGCTGTTGAACAGCCTACTTGTGCCTCATCAGGTAAGTCTACAGGCCCTGAAGAAAAGTTACTACACCCGCAGCAAGGCTGGAAGCCAGGGTAGGAGGTGCTCCTCTCCCGATGGCTCTACTGTTCTCTGTGGCAGCCATGAGTCCTGTTTCTTATTCACTCCCACGCCTCCTGTGCCAGCTCAGAAGGAGCAGGACACAACAGGGACTCAGCGGCAGAGACTGGCTCCTGCCACAGCCAACCATCCCTCTCACCTCCAAAGTCCAGGTGGTATCTCTGCAGGACCCACATCTTCAGGGCTCCCCATTGACACATTCCCACAAATCTGAGTGGTCCCCTGAGAAAGTAGCTGCCACTGAGCATGGAAACCTCTAGGCACATCTGTGCTTCCCAGTATTTAAGAGGCAGAACTTCTTGATAGGAAATTATTCTCTCCTGGGGGTGAACCCTAAAGAAGCCACCTACAATGTTCTATCCTGCTTGAGTGTGGCCAATAAACAATAACCACCAGTTGTCCCAGAGCTCCCTCTGGTCACTACAAGAGGAGGGCCTTCCGGTTTGACCTTTGAGAAGAGATTGTCTCGGCGTGGAGCAAATCTATACTGTGATGATTTTCTGACCAAGGGAACTAGCTGGAATTAGCCAAGTGGAATAAAAATGGCTCAAAGTACAGTGAATGAATCTACTAAGAGGTGGTGTGCATGGTTTGGTCCAAAGGCATAAACTTAGAATCCAAATACTCTCACAAGACTGAGGCAGGAGGATCTCAAATTAGAGAACAACCTGGATTGTTTATTTAGATGTTGTGCCAGCTGAGCTCAAAGAAATGGGGTTGGGAGATATTTTGCACTGACTAATGAAGCCATACTTGGTTAGTGCTAGCATTTTAATTTGGAGTTTTATTTATTTATCCATTTGTTTATTTGTTTTTGTGGTGCTAGGTTTCAAGGCCAGTGCTCAGGAAGAGCTGTACTGGTTGGTTTTGTCTACTGTACACAAACTAGAGGCATCTGGGAGAAGGAACTTCATCAGGTCGCACAGTGGATATGTCTGTGTGGTCATTTTCTTGATTATTGATTGATGTAAGAGAGCCCAGCCCACTGTGGGTGGCACCATCCCTAGGCAGGTGGGCTAAGACATAAGAAAGTTGACTGATAAGCCAAGGGGAGCAAGCCAGTAAGCAACGTTCCTCCTTGGTTTCTGCTTCGGTTCTTGCTTTCTGGGTTGTGGGTCTAACTTCCCTTTATGATGACTGTGATGTGAAAATGTAAGCCAAATATAAACCTCCAAACTGCTCTTGGTCGTTGTTTTATCAGAGCAATAGAAAAGCAAACTAGAAAGCATATCCTGGGTTATCTTCATTAGTTTGGAAATAACAGACATGCAATTACAGAATCTATATTTATATGTCTGTCTCCCTTCCAAGTTGTCCCACTGAGAACAGTCACTGTGCTGGGCCAGGAAAAGCCCACCCACGGAAGTTTAGACCAGGCTCAAGGTGAGTGTGGGTCACAGCCCCTCAGCATCCTTGGATGGGGATAGATGTGTCTGGAAGGCAAGCAGGAATGAGGACGCACAGAACTCTGAGGTCCAGAGGAACTTCCTCACTCATGCTGTGAATTTGCTGTCTCATATGAAAACAGTTAGCTCCCACCGCCCAGATTAGATTTTGGCGTCTGAGGCCAAACTGCCTTGGCTCCCCTTCATGCTCTCTACACTGGAGAGCTTTGCCAGGTCCCTGGATCTGATAAGCTGGATCAGCAGAAATCCAAGGAGACAGGAGCCCGGGCCCAGCCTTTGTTCCCTCCTAGGCCATCCTCCATCTGATCCCCGGCTTCCCAGAGCTAGAAACCCACTGAACTGTCTCCAAGGACAGGGGATTAGCTTGGTCATTTAGGGCTGGATGGAGCTGACGCATTCAGAGGATGGCATAGACGCCTGTGTGTTTGCTTACTTTGACAAAGGGTGCCTAAGTGAGTTGCCTGTACATGTTGGAGAAGAGAGGAGGGAAGGAAGGAAGGAAAAGGAAGCAAGGGAATTTGATCCACGCCTCTTCTTTTAGGCATGAGAAAAGTGAAATCCTAAAAGATCAAATGACTCGCCCTAGTCCGCCCTGCTAGTTGGTGGCAGGTGATGAATTAGACTTGGGTCTTCTGATCTTTCCATTCTATTGCCATGACACCGTGTGACTGAGTGGGCATCACACATACCTAATGGTTCTGCTTCTTCAGGGAAAGGAGGAGAAAGCACACTTTGGTGGGTGGGGTGTGCCATACTTAATAACTTCAAAGCGACATACTTGGCTGGTCCTCTAAGAGATCTTTAGCTTGGCCCTGAGCCGAAAATGTCTTCATATTAAAGTGTTGTATTGGCCTGCCCTGGAAGCGTGTAATTCCCTCCCCAGTTTTCGTGCTAACCCAGGACCGTGGGACACTCACACATGGATGGCCAGCTGAGTGACTTCACCACAGGCTGGAGTGCTCTCTAACTGGAGGAGAGTCTGTGTATCTAGCTCAATGCTTCAGCTGAAAGAAATAGCTATATCCACTGATGGAGAGTAGGTGAGCCTTGTCCTCAGTGAGAGACAGAAATAATATGACTACCCTAAACAACATGGGGGCTGATCATATTGCCATAAATTAGTATTTATTAAAGGGTCACCGCACTTGGAAAAGGTTCTGTGGTCAGAATGAGATGGTAAGACATAATAAAAGCAGGGGGTTATTAGGGCATAAGACCCTACTGCATGTTGTTCTAGAGTCGTCTAGATGGTGAGCATCAAAATGGATGAGGGCCAGGGTGAGCTGAGGAGATGACGGAGTCAGTAAAGTTCTTGCTTTGCAAGCATGGGAACCTGAGGATAGATTTAACCCATACACAAGGACAGCTGTGGTGGTATACACGTGGACTCCCAGTGCTGGGAGACAGAGACAGGAGGGTCCCTAGAGCTCACTAGCCAGCTAGTCTAACCAAATTGGTGAGATCTGAGTTCAGTGATAAAAGAATAAGGTGGACAGGGATTGAGGAAGACTCCCAATGTTAACGTATAGCCTCCATGGGCTTATAGTGCATATAAGGCATGAATCACGTGGCAGCCCATGAATTAATAAATATGGGTTAATTTAAGTTGTAAGAGCTAGTTACTAATAAGCCTAAGCTATTGCCTGAGCAGTCATAATTAATAATAAGTCTCTCTCTGGTCATTTGGGAGGTGGCTTATAGGACAGAAACTTCCAACAACAACGGAGCTGTCCCACATTGCTCTGGAGCACATGGTTGAGCTCCATATAGGAAGGGATGCTTTAGTACTCAGAGCTATGTGCAGCCGGAAGACGGGGGCTCCTTACCAGAAACATCCCTCCACACTGCACACAAGGCTGCCACAGACACAGCAGGAAGTAGACCAGTGTGAGTTTGGAGGTCGTTTGAGATAACCCCTAAATTTCCTCTTAAAAGTGCTCAGTCTGTGACCTTTTTATAGGGCATGACTGAGCAGGTGGTGCAGACGGGCAGCAGGCACACTGAGAACAAGCGTGCATTCTCGACACCACTGGCTTCAGCCAATAGGGAGGGAGAATGGCAGGTGGGTACCAAAGGGAGCTTCTGGAGTCTGTGCACAGCGATGCATGAAGACCCATGAGGACCCATCTAATGCAGGTGGGAAAGCATGACGCGGATAACTCCAAGACGAGGCTGTGAAGTAACTGTGTATAGTAGCCTTGCACTTATTATACATTGAGCCCCTATAGTAAAATAAGCAGTTTCATACCTAAGTCCTACAATAACCCTGGAGATAACTAACAGATGACTATTTTATAGATGAAGATGAAAGCTCAAGGGTTGGAGAGATGGTTCAGTGGCTAAGAGCACTGGCTACTCTTCCTGAGGACCCGAGTTCAGTTCCTAGCATACACATGACAGCTCATGACCATCCGTAACTCCAGTTTCAGAGTATCTGATAGCCACTTCTGATTTCCATGGGAACCAGACACACACAGTGTAATACACACATGCGGGTAAAACACCCAGATGTATACATTTTTTTTAATTTAAGGAAATTCAATCCCGGAGAGGCTGTTAACCCAGCAAGCAGTGAAGGCTGATCTGGGTTCCTAATATTTGACTTTAGAGCCTAGAGTTACCTGGGCTCCCAGGAGCTACTACCCTTGATTCATCCCCACCACTTGGCTGGGCCTGAGAGGACGGCAATACCAGGCACAGACCCCTCTTACCTTGACAACATGCAGCTTGGGGAGCAGATTGCAGTCGGCTAGGGTCAGCTCATCCCCGTCTAGGAACTTGCGCTGGGACCCTTTCTCGTCCCCACGGATGTTGGTATCAATCTCCTCTGGCAGAGGCGTGTTCAGGTAGTCATCCAGCTTCTTTAGTGCCCTTGTCAAGCCCCTCTCAAGGGCTGCCATGGAAGACAAAAAGAAGGGTCAGCTCTCTTCTTACTAAATATAGTCACAGGGACTTCGGAGTACACATGCATGTGCGCGCGCACGCGCGTGCGCACACACACACACACACACACACACACACAAATAAAATAAATCTGAGAAACTAGCCAAGCAACAAACACTAGTTATTTCTTTAATTTGATTAAAACACCAGATATTTCTTTTAATTTGATTAAATTCCTTTTACTTTAAGACGTGTCTCCTATTAAATAAAGAATTTCAGTAGTTAAAGTGTATGTCAAAGTATTCAGAGCTTATCTCCAGCAGGTACAACATTAGGCAGCTTCTACTTTTTTTATATTTATTTTTTTGTCAATGATTCACAATACACACAATAATTTTGAAGAAAGGCTGATTAAGTAATTAAAAATGATACAGAAGTAGTCCTAAGATAGGACCAGCTTTCTGGAAGTATTAACTTTGACTAAACTAGCTGGAAATGGGGAGGGGACCTTCAGGGACCAGGACATAGGAAAGAGAGCCCCGTCCTGTTTGGGGGGACCAATGCAACCGACAGGAATGGCCATTAGTAATATGCATTCGATTCCACTGCATAGAGACTGTCACCTGCCATGGATGCAAAGAAGACGAGGTGGCAGAAGACGTTTATATTTCTATCCTGAGTAGAGCAACTAACCCATTTAGATACGCAGGAGCATAGGACCTTTGCATCATGGGAAGATGACATGGCAACCTTGCACCTGAATATACAGGGTCGCTGCATGGTCATTAACCACTGTACCTGTGACATCAGCCCCGCTTCTCAACTTCCCCCACCCCCTGTTTGGACAGCATGCTCCTGAGATCCCAGGAGTTCCCACTGACCCACATGGCCTCAGACACAAGGGGGCATTGCCATCCAGAGGAGAAACTGCGAGCTCTGTCCTCCTTGTCATGGCTTCCCAGATGTGCCTTCTAGTAATTAGCCACTCCCAAACAACCCACTTTTGTCTTTTCATAGGAGGCCTTTTGTCTGGGACAATGGAAGAACACTTGTCTGAGACAATGCTGCTGAACACTTCCTGGAATGTTTGGAAACCGGCTAGAGGCAGGCCGTTCGTTTCTCAATACTTCCTTCTCCCTGGTGTGGCATTTGAACTCGGCTTCATCATCTGCTTTGTGTTTTCGGTTTGAGAGAATAGAGTGAGAAGAGCTGGGGAAAATGCTTGAATTCCCCTCGGTGATTGTCTAGACTGTGATGGGATTACCAGACTATTCAAGGGCTAAGGCAGAGGGTGGGTACTGGACAATACTTATTATGTTTTTCTCCCCAAAGTGATTGCATTTCATGCTGGGTTTGTTTGCTTCCTCAAATCCTTTCAGCGATAGAGTGGGGCAAAAACCCAATCCCAGCAGGAAAGGAAAAAAAATAGCACAATATTCTAGTTTCAGTTTTGTTGTTCTGCCAAAACATCCTGTTACAAAGCAGTATTGGGGAAGAAAGGGTTTATTTGGCACACATTACTGAACTGCAGATTATCTTTGTAGGGAAGTCAGAGGCGGGAGCCTGAGACCTGTTGGTCTCATCACATCCATAGTTAAGTTAGCAGCATGAAGCAAATATCCAGGCTGCCTTCTTGCTTGCTTGTTCTCTTATCTGGCTCACCCCCACCTCCCGCCTAGGGAATGGTGCCACCCACAATAGGCTCTCTTCGTATCTGTGAGCAATCAATGTAATTCCTGCTCTACCTGATCCAAATAAATCCTCAACTGAAACTCTCTTTCCAGGCAAGTCTAGGTTGTGGCAAGTTGACATTTAAAAATGACCATGACACATGGTAGAGTTGTTAAATTTTGATCAATTTGTATCAGCGGACGGATATGAAGGAGTGAGCAAACGGAAAGGAGGCATTCCAAGTCCTAACTCCCAAATGCCTCTTGGAGACCTTTCAGACCTGTGAATTTTGGCAACAGTGAATATTGGCAAATAGGCAGGAAGCAGTGATGGAGACCTTGAGAGAGCAGCTCTGGATAGAGTCCAACTATCTGCCAAATGAGCTCTTGAAATGGAAGGGGTAAAGTTTAATAACAGTTATGGTTGGGTCCTCTACCTCATTACTACAACGTCACACAAGGCATGTACATTCTGAGCATGCTCACTGCTTGTCAGTAACTTGACTTGCAGTAATCATGGTAGAGACACAAGATGAAAAGCAAGACGGAATCCCACGGTGACTCCCCGCCCCCGTTAGGATTTAGATTTTGCCTAGAATAGACTCACAGTTGAGGTTATAGCTTCAAGACCCTTTAACTGAAGAGCCCTCTCCAAGACTGGGGGTGGGAGGACATGGCTTTTTTCACTTCCCTGTTTAAGTTTATTGTATTAGCTTTGGGCACCATAAATCCCACCTGTGCCCCTGGTTCTGGAAGCTAGAGGTTAGCTCCTCAAGGTCACTGAGTGACAGCCTCCTCATTTCAGTGACAATGAAAGCCCCCAGGTCACACATGGCCCCTTTTAGGTTCACTCAACTCAGTGTAGGGAAAGTTCCTGAGACAAGGGCCTGGACTGTACCAGGTGGGTCAATGGTTATCACTGTTTTCTTGTGACTCGATGAAGCAGTCATCCTTCTGCCTGTGTGCATCCTCCCATACTTCAAATCAGTGTATCCTTAAACATTCCAAGATGCAACAGAAAGCACGAGATTCCGAGTAGCCCCAAATCTGAGGTCAAGTCCCAAAGTGGAGCTTTCTTTCCCTCTTTTTACTTATTTAGATTTTTCATGAGATTTGCTCATGAAGCTCAATAACTAGCAAAAATGGCCTTGAACTTTTGCTCCTCTTGCCTCTGCCGCCCTAATACTAAGATTACAGGCATGTGCCACCATGTACCCTCCCTTGCATATTTAATGCACAGCCATAACTATGTGCCCTTAGACCCCCTGGAATCCTTGTTGGTGACAAACCATGTAGAGAGGAATGGTCAGAGGAAAACGGACACACCATACCCACATGCTGAAACACTCCGGGCTAACAAGCCGCCCGTGACAGTACCAGACATTCTCTTCCAGCCTTCTCCCTCCTGCCTGCTGGCTCAGTCCTGAACCACAGGATTAAATGGTCTCTTTCGGCTGATGGCATTTGGGTCGTGAAACCACTCACAGTGAACTTTCTACTGTGGTAAAATGGATAGGAAAGAGACCAGGGTGAAAGGCAGGGGACAGTAAGTCCTTCTGTGTGTGTGTGTGTGTGTGTGTGTGTGTGTGTGTGTGTGTGTGTGTGTGATAGAGAGAGGGGAGGGGGAATCTCACCACTGAAAGGCTTCCTCAGACACTGGCTGTGGTAACTAACCTCAGGCAGGCTACGGCACCCAGTGACCCTTGATGACTAGCATCCCATGAACTTGATGGATACCCAGTCTTTTAATTGCTCCGCTTCTGCTTCCCATAAAGATTTATTCCGCACTACACACAAATGTGCCGGGTAAAATATGCAATGAGGAAAAAGGGGAAGAGTTCATAAATATTCTCAGGCATATGCAAACAATCTCAAATTTATTTTTCTCTCTTTTTTTTTAAGGAGGGAAAAAAATCCACCCATTCCATGATCACTTCCAGATTCATTGAGGTTGCTATTACATAAGAGCCAATATTGTTTTCTCGTCATAGAGAAATAATGAGTTGGGAATGGCAATTTGAGCTAAGAAAATAATATAGTCTTACCAAGGCATGGGGGTTGGAGGAGGAACGGGGAGCCAAGATTCTAATCCAGCCTCCAACAAGTTTCTGCAAGCATGGTTCAGCCCCAGTTTGCTAACATCTGGGCACAGCATGGGAACTGAGGATCATGAAACCAGCGGCACCTCTGGCTCTCAAAATTCACACAGAGAGGGGCAGATGCCAAGGGTGGTCTTTGAGACAATAGAAAGCAGGTCTGGGGTCAGGAGCTTTGTAGGGTCTTCTGTGTATTTTTCTCTCTGATGTGTACTTGGAGAAGTACACATATATTACATACACTCACACAGACATATCCATATAAACATAAATAAAAATAAACCTTATAAAAATAAATTGGGAAAGAGATGGCTCAAGGGTTAACAATACTGGCTGCTCTTTCAGGGGACCTGGATTCAAGTCTTATCTACACAGGGGCTAAGAAATGGTTCTAACTGCAGTTCAGGAGATCAATTGACCCTTTTTGTTTGTTTGTTTGAGACAATGTTTCTCTGTAGCTTTTGGTGCCTGTCCTAGAACTAGCTCTTTGTAGACCAGGCTGGCCTCGAACTCACAGAGATCCACCTGCCTCTGCCTCCTAAGTACTGCTGGGATTAAAGGTGTGCACCACCACCACCTGGGTTCGATTAACCCTTTCTGCCTCCTCAGGCACTGTGTGAGGTCTACAGACAGATACGCAGGCAAAGCATTTATACACATAATTTAAATTATAAAATGTTGTTTTAGAAAGAGATCAAGGCCCACCTTTGGCAAAGATCTGCAGCCTAGGTAGGTGCCTGCCCATGGAAAGGAAGACCATGACCACTAGGTGCTGGGCCCAGGCTGAGCACCCTTCACCCTCTGTCCCATTCATTGCTCCGCTAAGGACAATTCCCACAGGAAGGCAACACTCACTGTTTTCTGAAGGGACCCTGAATGTGGTACTCATGGTTGCCTAGACACATAAGAGCCAAGGACTAGTATTTATTCTCACTTAACAGCTAAGTAAACCGAGTCACAGACATACCCAAGGCACATATACTTATGTTGGACATACATAGCTAGTTTCTTGAAGCATTCAGACCACTCCAAAAGTATACATGAACATAGCATGTTCTTGGTTTCGTTTGTTTTACACGCTTACTTAGAGGATCTCATGCGCTGGGCAGTGGGAAAGTTAGCAATTTATTAATCTATTCTAGATTGTAACCTAGTCTGATGTAATAGTCCCTCTAGAGGATTCTCAGCCTCTTTTGCATAGAAGTACTCAGTTTCTCAGACAGACTGTCTCTCCCTTGCTCTTC